CCTAAAAATTGCTGTCCACCAACGTTTACCATCCAACCTGCCAGAACTGGAGAGGCTCTGCAAGGAGGAATGGCAGAGGATTCCCAAATCCAGGTGTGAAAAACTTGTTGCGTCTTTCCCAAAAAGACTCATGGCTGTATTAGATCAAAAGGGTGCTTCTACTAAATACTGAGCAAAGGGTCTGAATATTTAGGACCATGTGATATTTCAGTTTTTCTTTTTTAATAAATCTGCAAAAATGTCAACAATTCTGTGTTTTTCTGTCAATATGGGGTGCTGTGTGTACATTAATGAGGAAAAAAAAATAACTTAAATGATTTTAGCAAATGGCTGCAATATAACAAAGAGTGAAAAATTTAAGGGGGTCTGAATACTTTCCGTACCCACTGTATGTTAGTATTTAAAAGCTGCTTGTGATGGGCTTTGGTTCATCATGTGACTTTCTCATCACCTCCTGCATTTGGTGGTTATCAGTGTATTACAAAGACACAAAACAGATTTCAGTACTTCAATAGGTTGGTATATTAACATTATATCAGTTAATGAAATTACGGTATTTAACTGTAAATTTAAGTTAAAACCGTAAAACCTAAAACGTTGCTACCGTATTTTTTGCGGTAAAATTCCGGCAACCACAGCTGCCGTTTTTTTACCGTAAATTTTACGGATTTTTTGTTTTTTGTTTTTTGTTTACACTATTTTTGTTCCTAAAACGTAGAGTTAAGAATTCGAACAAACCTCTAACACTAAACATTTGCCTTGCATGTAACTAACTAGTCCTACACTATTTGTGCTATGGACATCGATGATACTTCAAATTATGCAGCTTATTAATGCGTGCTATTAAATTTGAGTTACATTTTGGACCAGCTAGTTGATAAAATGCCCAGAAAAAAAATTTAACAAATAAATAAACCCATAGACTTGCTCAACCGTTCAGTTAGATTGTTTTAATTAATTAAATTAATGCATTAAATTGATCAAAAATTAGACATTTATAATGTTACAAAATATGTCTATTTAAAAAAAATGTTTCTTTTGAACATTCTTTATCATCAAGAATCCTTAAAAACATGTTAAGCAGTTGTTTTCAACATTGATAATAATCTGAAATGTTTCTTCAATCAGCATATTATTATGATTTCTGAAGATCATGTGACACTGAAGACTGGAGTAATGATGCTGAAAATACAGCTTTGATCACAGAAATAAATTACATTTGAAAATATATCCAAACAGAAATCTGTAGTTTTAAATTGTAATAATATTTCACAATATTACTGTTTTGACTGTATTTTTGATCAAATAAATGCAGGCTTGGTGAGCAGAAGAGACTTTATAAACCCATAGACTTGCTCAACCGTTCAGTTAGATTGTTTTAATTAATTAAATTAATGCATTAAATTGATCAAAAATTAGACATTTATAATGTTACAAAATATGTCTATTTAAAAAAAATGTTTCTTTTGAACATTCTTTATCATCAAGAATCCTTAAAAACATGTTAAGCAGTTGTTTTCAACATTGATAATAATCTGAAATGTTTCTTCAATCAGCATATTATTATGATTTCTGAAGATCATGTGACACTGAAGACTGGAGTAATGATGCTGAAAATACAGCTTTGATCACAGCAATAAATTACATTTGAAAATATATCCAAACAGAAATCTGTAATTTTAAATTGTAATAATATTTCACAATATTACTGTTTTGACTGTATTTTTGATCAAATAAATGCAGGCTTGGTGAGCAGAAGAGACTTTCAGAAACGTTATAAAATCTTACTGACTCCATACAGTCAAGACTAGAGACTAGAGTATCATATCACACTCGTGGGCTCTTTAGAGGCCAGTAAACACCTACCAACCCCACAGAATATCCTAGAACTAGCCCTGGCAATCTCCAACAACAGCCTAGAATCATGGCACTGAGTTTTAAATTTCCTTAAAAAAAAATATGCAATTGTTTATGATTGAATTGATTTTCTAGTATTTCATGTTTAATGAAGCGGTAACATTGCTGTATTGTCTTTTCTAGGCATGAGCGGATCAATACTCGCAAAACCCTGATCATTGAGAGCTGTCCTGATGATGATCTGGTGGACCTGGAGGTTTTAGATGAGGTATTTAGAAGTTGTGCCTGAAATCTAAACAAAGGCTTTCATTTTATTAATCATACAGACATATATATATAAATTTTATTTTTAGATGTAAACGCAACATGAAATCAAATTGACCTTATTTACGTAATACATGTTCCTGGACTTATTTTGCGAGATCAGTGAATGCTATTCCAAATCATAGCATAACTCCATTAAAAATGCCTAAAATTGCAAAAGTAAAATGAGTTGCCTTCATGTTGACTTTAAAATGAGGTGAAATTCAATATACAGACCATTACTAAACTGTCTCAAATTATGTGAATTCGGTGAATCTTGAAGTATAAACAACAAAGAAACATTTCCATCTCCAGCATTTCTCTTTTCTAGGAAACAATCATTGCACATCTTCAGAGACGGTATCAGGAGCTGCAGATCTACACATATGTTGGTGACATCCTCATAGCGCTTAACCCTTTCCAGAACCTCAACATCTACTCTCCACAGGTGAGAGCAGCAACATCAGGCTGTGCAATAGAGCATAGTTCATGTCTAAAGCATACCATCTTTGTTTAACCATTTTTCGGTGAAATGCATGATCCACATCACACTTTGTAACAGTTGTGTGGGAGCCAATTCAAGCTGGCTTTCAGAATCAAAGCTTCCTTGTAGGGAGTGAACTAAGATGTAGTTTTGTGTCTGAAAACGCCTCTGTTCTCAGTTCTCAAAGCTCTATCATGGGATGAAACGCTCCACTAACCCCCCGCACATCTTTGCCACCGCTGATGCAGCCTATCAGAGCATGGTCACCCTCTCCAAAGACCAGGTACTGCTTTCTGTGTCTGCACTCTCGTTCCTAAAACAATGTAGAGTATATCTAACATACACACGGTTCATAGACATAGCAGGTTGTCTTTAAATATGGTTTTAAATATCTATGTGGGGTTCACCAGTTGTCTCTTTTCTTTAAACAGTCTTCACACTATAGTTTATTTAAATTAGTTTTTTTTTTTGAGAGAGAGAGAGAGAGAGAGAGAGAGAGAGAGAAATTCATATTTTTATTCCACAAGGACAATTCAAATTAGCCAAAAAGCGTAAGTCTTACAATGTTTTAAAAAGATTCTATTTCAAATAAATGTTGTTTGGACTAGTGTTGATTTTGTTAATGAAAACTATGACAAAAAATGTTAGTTGACAAGTTGTATTCCCATGACTACCGAGACGATGACGAGATGACAATAAGCTCAATAAACGATAACTGTAACTATATCAACATGTAATATTGTTGGCGATAAAAGTCGAGACTGAAATGCATTTTTTTTATTCTATTTCAAATAAATGTTGTTTGGACTAGTGTTGATTTTGTTAATGAAAACTATGACAAAAAATGTTAGTTGACAAGTTGTATTCCCATGACTACCGAGACGATGACGAGATGACAATAAGCTCAATAAACGATAACTGTAACTATAGCAACATGTAATATTGTTGGCGATAAAAGTCGAGACTGAAATGCATTTTTTTTTAACTGTACAAAAATCTCTTTATTTTCGTCGAAAAAAGGAGACAAAATATTATTGCGGACTGCTGTACACGCCTCTACTAGGTGAGGCTTCATGTGTGCGGTTGCCAGATACCAAGAGTTCAAATCCCCATATCAGAGCTTCTCTGTTAAAAGGATGCATTTTTTGCATTAAAAAAAAAAACTAAATTCTGTATACATTTTTTTTAAAAATCAGTTTTGCTTATTTTTTGCAATCTGGCAATCGTGCACATGCGTACAATGTTGACTACATATGATAATTACTAAAAAGTAAATTTGACACAGGACTAAGACTGACTGGGCAATTCACCATTTCCAAAATATTATATCAGCAAAAATATTAATCAGCAAAACTGTTCTCAACATTGATAATAATAAGAAATGTTTTTTTTGAACATCACTGTATTAGAAAGGTTTCTGAAGGATAAAAATTACTGGAGCAATGGCTGCATTTTAAAATATTGAATATTAATATTTAAAACAATTCTTTTAAATTGCAATATTACTGTTGTAACTGTATTGATTAAATAAATGCATACAAGACATATTTCTTAAACAGAAAATAAAATACAATTAAATAAAATTAAATAAAATTAAATAAAATTAAATAAAATTAAATAAAATTAAATAAAATTAAATTACTGACCCCAAACTTTAGAACAGTAGTGTATGTGCATTATGGGAGAGTGCTTTTTTTTTTTTTAACCAACATCATTTCTACCAATGTCAACGACATTTATGCTTTCAATTGTTTTGTCTGTGTAGTGTATAATCATTAGTGGAGAAAGTGGAGCCGGTAAAACTGAGAGTGCCCACCTCATCGTCCAACATCTCACATTTCTGGGAAAAGTTGAGTACTCACATCTTTTATACATTACCTAACACACTTCATACATACACTACTGTATGTGCTCTAAAGAAACGCTTCAGCAACCAATCTTTTGTGTTTTATTATGAGATTCCTGATCATTTTCCGTCTAGTGACGTAATCATCCGTGGCTGTAAGATTTGCAGATTAAAAATCTGGGTCACACTTTTCAGACATCATCTGTTGTTTTCTATTTCAAGGCTAATAATCGAACACTTCGTGAGAAGATTCTTCAGGTGAATCCCCTGGTGGAGGCGTTTGGGAATGCGTGCACGGCCATTAACGATAACTCCAGCCGCTTCGGAAAGTACCTGGAGATGAAGTTCACACCTACAGGGGCCGTGATGGGTGCTAAGATCTCTGAGTATCTTCTGGAGAAATCAAGAGTCATCAAACAGGCTACGTGAGGAGCCACTGTGCCTAGATCTGTGGCCATTTTTAACATGAATCACTATTCACAGCTTATATTTTCTTTTGCAGGGGCGAGAAAAACTTCCACATATTTTACTACATCTATGCTGGTCTTTACCACCAAGACAACCTCAAGAAATACAGGCTACCCAACAAAACTGCCCCCAGGTTTGTGTTTATATGCAGTGAAACAGACTCAGTGCTTATGAAGACGTGTGATTCTGACTCCCGATTATGTATCTACAGTGTCACTGACAGAGATCAGAGATTCATGTAACTTTTCTGGTCTTTCAGATACATTGATTGTGTTAATGGTAAAGTAATGCAGGACATAGTCTCTAGCAAACTCTACCAGGAGCAATTTGATGCAATTCAGGACTGTTTCCGTATCATAGGATTTACTGAAGAGGTACAGCTGAAATTCGAATTTATATTTTTTTAATCATATGCAATTATTAAAGGGATTGTTGAGTTCACCCCCAATAATTTATATGTTTTCATATGCAGGAAGTGAATTCTGTGTACAGAATTCTATCAGGCATTTTAAACACAGGAAATATTGAGTTCACATCCACCAGCTCCCAACATCAGAGCGACAAGAGTGAGGTGCCCGACTCTGAGGCCTTAGATAATGGTAAGAGCATGTAATAGCTGTAAATATTATATAATATATCATAATACAATAAACACTCTACTGTAGGCATTCTTCTGTAACCCTACATAAAGTAGGACACATACAGATCTCTGCTGTATAATCGCTCGGTCATGTTTTATTTATTTATTTATTGACTAGTTAGTTAGTTAGGATGGTAGTTGGTTAGGTAGTTAGTTTGTTGCCACTTGTCCATTCCCAGTATAATTAACCTGAATACAGAGAATATTAGAAACACTCTGAATCTTCTCAGAATACAAATATCCGACAGCTACAGGTCACTTTGTTGTCCGATGTGGCCTTAAAGGGATAGTTCACCCAAAAAATGAAAATGTGATGTTTATCTGCTTACCCCCAGTATGATAAATATTACCATTATTATCAGAGGTGCATCATTCAGTCTAAGATTAAAATATACCCAAGCCTACCATTTTACAAAGCCCTTTAAGCAATTAATTGACACAACTTTTATTTAAATTTTTAAAATTTCAATATGGTCTTAAAGAAATCGTTTACCCAAAAATGAAAATGCTGTCATCACCCCATGTGAAAAACAAGTGCACTTGTGCACTGCTGCAGCCTGACACTAACATCTGGTATGATAAATATTACCATTATTATCAGAGGTGCATCATTCAGTCTAAGGTTAAAATATACCCAAGCCTACCATTTTACAAAGCCCTTTAAGTAATTAATTGACACAACTTTTATTGAAATTTTTTAAATTTCAATATGGTCTTAAAGAAATAGTTTACCCAAAAATGAAAATGCTGTCATCACCCCTGTGAAAAACAAGTGCACATTAATGTAGTCTACATCTGTCTAAAGCCCTGTACGGACGCCTCTTCAGCTGGATAGTGAACCGCATCAATGCACTGCTGCAGCCTGACACTAACATCTGGTATGATAAATATTACCATTATTATCAGAGGTGCATCATTCAGTCTAAGATTAAAATATACCCAAGCCTACCATTTTACAAAGCCCTTTAAGCAATTAATTGACACAACTTTTATTTAAATTTTTAAAATTTCAATATGGTCTTAAAGAAATCGTTTACCCAAAAATGAAAATGCTGTCATCACCCCATGTGAAAAACAAGTGCACTTGTAATGTAGTCTACATCAAATCTTAGAAGTATATTTTTTAGAAAACTGTCATGAAAGCACTTTCTTTAACTACACTTAAAGGGACAGGTCATCCAAAAATGAAAGTTTTGTCATCAGTTACTCGCCCCCAAACCTGTACGACTTTCTTTCTTCTGTAGGAGACTTTCTCTTGAGTTTAAGCTCGAGTTGATCTTAAACCCACCACTATTTATCTTTGAATGCCTCTGCATCGGTGTAAATGGCAATGAAAGAAAATGGAAATTTCAAAAACTGGTGAAATGTGTAATGACCTTTTCTCCCCTTATAGAAAGAGTTTCACATGTGCATTAAAACACGTGCTCACATGTGACCACATGTCCATGTGATTTCGCACATGTGAAATTTCATGTGTGGAAACATGATAAAATCACATGTGAAACATAAGAACATGTTAAAACCACATGGGAAATGTGTGTTTTTGGAACATTTTTGTGTGAATCCCATGTAAAATCCCATGGGATCACTCATATAAAAACATGTGATCATGTGTGAAATTCATGTGACTTTTCTGTAAGGGTCCTCAGCAGAAACTCTCTAGAACTGTTGTTGATCCGTCTATCAAGTGGTCTGACTTTTTCTTGTGACTCATGAATTAGATACATTTATATTAAATGCATTTTTGACCCCCTTTAGTAGGACTTAAGTACATCTTTATATGCAATTTCATCATCATTCGGTTGTCTTTGAATGTGGTTAAAATGCTGCTGAATTCTGACAAGCATTTATCATAAACTTATAAATTTAATATTGTATTCAAATACATTGTTGATGCAGTCATTTAACTGTAAGGCTTCCAGGAAACGTATTTTATTTACAAATGTAGTTTTGATGGTCTTTTAACACATTCTTGGTTACTTAATATCAGTGTGTGTCTGTGTGTGTTTGTTCAGATCGAGTATCAGAGCGAGGGTGTAGATGCCAGTCTGGTGGAATATGAGGACAACAGGCCCATTCTGGACATGTTTCTTCAGAAGCCCATGGGTTTACTGTCTCTGCTGGATGAGGAGAGCCGTTTCCCACAGGCCACCGACCAAACACTTGTCGGTAATGCTTTTGAATGAGTACTTTCATGGTTACATGATGTTTCGCATACACTCTTTTTTTAAAGAAAAATGCTAATAGCAAATCAGTTTTAACTGAATAGTGGCATTGCATTTAAATATATATTTATTCTTGAGATGAGAGGCCAGTTTGGTGAGATTCTCCACTCACATTCAGTGATTGTTCTAAAGATAAGTTTCAGGATAACCTGAGAAACAAGTACTTCTGGACGCCCAAGCGTGTGGAGCTTTGCTTCGGGATCCAGCATTATGCTGGCAAGGTAAATAAAATCTCACTTACCCTTTTATTTGCAGTACCTACAGCTTTATATTGTATTTATTTTAAAGGGGTCATATGATGCGATTTCAAGTTTTCCTTTCTCTTTGGAGTGTTACAAGCTCTTGGTGCATAAAGAAGGCTGTGTGTTTCGTTGTGAAAGCGAAACTACTTTGTTTGGTCTTCCAAAAGAGGACGATATCCGCTTCGTCATGCCTGGAGCTGATCCGTGCTGGTCGCTGAGGAAATACATCAACTTAGTGCTGTGGATCGCCGGATCGGCTTTCATCGTAGACGAAGCGGAGTCCAGCCCGGGGTCGTCACATGTGGTTGCCGCAGGCATCACAGTACGGTGAGGGACGTAACACTTCCGTCACACGCTTGAGGAAATCGGCCAATCACAACACACTGGATAGCTGGCCAATCAGAGCACACCTCGCTTTTTCAGACCGATGAGCTTTGTAAAAATCAACGCGTTTCAGAAAGGCGGGGCATAGAGGAGAAACAATAATGTACAGTATGTGGAAAATAATGTGCTTTTTTGACCTTTAACCACATAAACACATTTAATTACACCAAATACACAAAATAATGTTCTTTTAGCAACGTCATATGACCCCTTTAAAATTAATCAAAAGAACTGCGTTTATTCGAAATATGCATTTTTTTGTTAAATTGTTTAATCAGTTTAATTGTCTTTCCAGTCACTTTTGATCAATTGAATGCACCACTGCTGAATAAAAGTGTTAATTTCTTAAACAAATAAACATGAAAATGTCTTGTGTTCTCTGTCAGGTGCTGTATAATGTCAGTGGTTTTCTGGAGAAGAACCGGGACACTCTTCCTGCAGACATTGTGGTGGTTTTGAGGACTTCAGAGAACAAACTCCTGCAGCAGCTGTTTTCCAGCCCTCTGACTAAAACAGGTACCAGAATCATTCAACTTTCATCACGCGAGCTGTTCATGTCAAGCCTGACTGTCAGATCAGTTGTGACCCAGAGTTCTCTTGACAAATCATGTTGTGCCACGGAGCATCTAGGAGGCTAGAAAAGAAATGCAGTAATGGTGTTAAAACTGTCCCAATTGCTTGAGATGCTTCACACCCCATTTTCGCCTTCCAGAGGTCACTGGGTCATGTCAGGGCCAATGGGTGAGAGCTACATTCATCCCTGATGGTGGATTGTAAGATGTTAAGAGTAGTTGGTGTAAATGTTTGCTGTAAAACATAAAGCAATCATTTGAAAGTGATGTTCACACTTCAGCCCAGACACCTAGTAAGAATGATTGTCTTTGTTAGTATGTCTTTTTGCTCCGATGTTAAAGGTCAATCTCAGGTCCACAGAACTGCCGAGAGATCACATTACTGAGAGAATATTTCCACAAATTTAGGATACTAATAACAAATAAAAATTGTCTTAAATATGTATGAGCTTTTAGCGTGAACTTAATTAGTATAAAAGTATATAAAAACACTAAGAATGGGTAACAGGATTGTAGATTTAGCCTAAATAAGCTAACCCTAGCTTTGGGGTCAGTAAGATTAAAAAAAATATATATATAATTTAATTAATGCTTTTAATGAGCAAGAATGCATTACATTTGCCAAAAGTGATAGTAAAGGCATTTCTAATGTTACAAAAGAAATATTTATAAAATATTCTAATATTGCAAATAAAATCTGTTCTTTTGAACTAGTCATCAATGATGCTAAAATAACCCAAACTCCAATAATAACTCGAAATGCCACGAAATTGTAAAGGAGCACAACTGTTTTCAACATTGAATCAGAAATGTTTCTTGTGCAGCAAATCAGCATATTAGAATGATTTCTGAAAGATCATGTGACACTTAAGGCTGGAGAAATGATGCTGAAAATTCAGATTTAACATCACAGGAATAAAATACTTTAAAAAATGTATTAAAATAGAAAATTTTAATTACATTTTTAAATTGTAATAATATTTCTCAATATATTTTGATCAAATAAATTCACCCTCGATGAGCATAAGATATTTTTAAAAAAAGAAGAAAAAAAAACATAAAAAAATATTACTGGCTCCAATTTTTTGTATGGTACTGTACATAGTACACTCTCATAACAGAAATGCTGTAAACAGAGAGCATTGTGGGATAGAAATGAAGTCTTTCTCTAAATGCATACACCGATTTGTACCCTATTTGTGAAAATCATTTCTAATATCGTGTTTGTTAGTTTGACTTTATGGAAATTCAGCCACCCGTTGAAAATGTCTGGTCTGACTTACTGATGTTACAGTGTGATTGCGTGAACATGCTGTGTGGATATTAAAACTCTAATAAGTGAGCTGAATTCAGAGACTGTGGCCACATTCTTTGTCTCTCTCTCTCTCTCTTTCTTTATAAATACAAATCTCTCCCCCCATTATCTCTGGAGTGGCTGATCTCCAGGCAGAAGAATAGTGGAATAGAAAAGAAGGATAGAGCTGTGGATGGATGTGTTTTCATTTCCTCTAAGCTGTCCGCTAGGCTCCCGCTGTTTCTCTACTATCTGTTGGAGTTTGGGATATTCCAGCGATAAGATTCTCAAATACCCCGAGCAAGAAAAGCAGCTATTTTGCCCAGTAAACTGCTTTTCCTCTGCTATCGTTCTGCCTGCCAGGTGCTTAATAATGCCAAGAGTTGCTAGACGGTCACTAGACTTAGTGAGGTGTGTGAATAGGAGCACGCTGGGTACTTATAGGATGTGTATTTTCATACGTCTCTTTAGTTAAACCGCTCTCTTTAGTTGGCCACTGCCTTCGGCTACCTGTTAATGAGTGTGTTTAGTCGGAACCAAATGAAAAGATTTGAAGTAAATTAATGTGTTGAGCTTATATTAAAGTGTTGGATACTTTGCTAAATGGAATAGAATAATTTATTGGTCAATTTTGAGGTGTGTGTAGAGTGAGATAGAGAGTGAGCGAGATAAGCTGATTCCCTTTAGTTCCAAATCATAGGATTTTGAAAATGGTATAAAAAAGGGTATGGATGGTTTATTATTTCAGTGGATTTTGAAGTAGACGTATTCATGCTTCCTTATTCTGAAAGCTAAAATACATATTCATAATAAGCAATAAAAACATTAGCATTGCTTACATACAAATATACATACATATTGTTAATATTAATTGTTTTTTTAACCCACATCAACGTATACACAGTTTAGTTATTATTAGTATTATTATTATTAATAATTAATACCTCCAGAAAGTCTGCAGGAAGAGTGTCAGTTTATTTTTTTTTTAAACCACTGACATTATACAAGATCTGGCAGAGAAACACAAGACAGTTTAAATGCTGAATTACTGCAAGGCATAAGTATATATATATATAAGCTTTTTTTTTTTGGAAGAAATTAATACTTTTCTTTAGCAATGACACAAAAGGGAAAGTAAAGACAATTGTAAAATTACAAAATATTTTTATTGCAATTAAAATGTATTTATCTATTTATTTATTTGTATTTTTTAAATCGTATTCAACTTTACATTCAGATTTGCCATCACGGGAAATCACAAAATTAGTCTTGATGAGTCATTTAAAACTAAATAAATATATAAATACAAACCTTACCAAAAGCAAATAAAAACCTTGAATGGTATGTACACTCCCTTTTCATATAAATCTGATGTATAACTAAATATAAAAACAAATTGAACAAAAATGAAAAAAATCATTTACATGATGCACGGTAAACTGATTTGAAGAACCTATTCTGAATCCTCAGGAATTTTTTTTCAAACTCAAGGACTCCATGCAAAAACAAATGGTTCTTGATAAGAAGAGGGTAATTCATTTTGGTGAAAATAATATGCTACAAAGAATCACAGAACCTGTGATAATAATCTTCATTACTTAAATCACCCGATCATTTTAATCTGCAGGGCAAAATACCTGGTGAGTTTAAATTGCATATATTTTCATTGTTCTCTATTTTTTGCTGTTATCTTTCAAATTCTGGCAGAACCTGATTTAATCTGTTTGTCCTCGGTGACTTAGTGAAGGTCATCTTCCTCATCAGAGTGCAGGGTGAGCTCAGACCAGTAGGCGTCAGGCTTGATGATTCAACCACATCTCAATCACAGAGTGGGTTTGTGTTGATTAGACAGTACATGCTGTTTTGAAGTAAGTGGTGTTTGTAGCATATGCTGTAAAATGAGACCTGTGCTGAAGAAATTATGTTTGTGAAAGAGCTGTGGAGGTCCATTTAGAAATAAAATGTTGGAAATAAAATTAAAATTAGAAATTTTAGTGTAGAATTTCAATTTCAATAACGGTTCATTTCTATTCCTAGGTTGTTTTGTTGTACTCTGGGTTACTACTGGATTTCATAATTTTACATGGTACAATTGTAAACTCTAGATAAACTGATTTACATATTCATGGTTGAAGCACTGTGTTTAAAATGCATATGAATGTATAAGGGGACAATGTACTGTAATGTCTGTAATTGGTCACCATTTTCTTCTTTATTTTCACTCTTCTAAATCACCTTTTGACATCATTAGTTCATTTGAAATGCTCCTGCACTGCAAATTTTGAAATTCCATTTTTAATATTCCATTTAGTCTCTCAATTTATATGAACTCATAAAGTTACATGCATAATCATCATGAAGGATCAGTAAAGCCCTTGAGAAAAATAAGTGTGCTTAATTGTACAGAATGTGCAGTTGTAGCGTACTAAAATTAGAGAATTAAAAAACTGTGCTTGCAGATAATATAATATTAATGAAGTAAAAGGCCACTTAAGTATATTTAAAGTATACTTTCATGACTCTGCTTCTTAACACTCTTAAGTACACTTTTAAAATGTGCATTGTAATAATGTCAAATTAAAAGTATTTTTTTTACTTTAAAATACATTTTAAATCATTGTTTTATTAATCTTTTGTTGTGTTGCTGTGTTAAGAAGTACACTTACTTTATTGATGTGTTGCTTAACATAAAGCACATGTAAAGTACATGATCAGTTTTAACTTTAGCTTGTTATTGGATTTGACTAAATTACAAATATATTTACATACATGACATTCAAGATTCAAATTGCATATAGGCAGTGCTTTAGTTTAATAAATGCTCAGAATTCGACAGCACATTTGAACCACATTTCAAAGACAATTTAATTATGAAATTATATTCAAAGATGCACCTCTTAAGTGGGACAAGAAAGCTTTTAAGTTCAGTTTAAGTTTAATACAATTTAATTTAATTGTAAATAACATGTTAATAACTTAAATGTCAGAAAAAAAATTATTCTGCACTTATCCTATAAAAGTTTATTGTTTCCCAATACTATCTTTAAAAGTATGCTAAAATGTACTTATTTTTCACAGGGGAATGCTGTGTAAAACAGTTTTAATCATCTCATGCCACTGGTAACATCCTCAAATCTGAAAAAAAAAATAGATTGGACAAGTACAGTATACTGTCTTTTTTAATAACTACTTGTTCTTCTGTGCAGATACAGTGGATATAGAAAAGAATCCCCCCCCCCCCTTTAAAATAATCACATTGTGTTGCTTTGCAGCCTGAAATGAGACGGACACAGTTTTTGTTTTATCCAGCTGTATTTAATCAGTGCCACTTATAACATCCAAGTGAAAGATATAACATACATAAATAAATAAATAAACCAGAATCACTGAGTTGGAAAAAGGATCATCCCCTTGTGTCAGTATTTTGTTGAAGCACCTTTTGCTTTAATTAGAGCCTTTAGTCTGTTGGGATTTGTCTCTACTAACTCCACACGTCTAGACTTCTGCTCTTCTTTGCAGAACTGCTCAAGTTCAGTTAAATTTGATGGTGAGCATTTGTGGACTGCCGTCTTCAAGTCTTTCCACAGATTTTCAGTGGGGTTTAAATGGGCTCTGACGAGGCCATGCAAGGACATTCAGCTTTTTCTCCT